TCTGCTGGCATCTGTTGGCAATGCAATTATGGTTTGATAAAAGTAGTACCAACAATATTAGCGTGATGAAAATCCAGAGTACATTTTTTAGGATGCTGGTAAGGAAATAAGAATTTTGCAAAGGTGTAAGGAATGAAACGAAACGAAGTTCGCGGGTACCAGCTATATTCTTATATTTTAACATTTTTGACAGTAACAACGGTATGTAGGTAACAAATGACAATCGCAAAAATCCTAAATAGGGTCGAGTGAACCTTCTGTAAACGCTCTATTTCTGCTAATGCTATGTCATTCCATAAGGTCCATTTTCCATTGTCGATTCTAGGCTGGATTTGACAACTGCCAAATGGCCTCTTATGGTACCCTTATTTTCCAAGGGTCGCGACAACGACGCGCGTCAACGACGCCGTCATATTTTGACGGCATCGTTGTCGCTGCAGTTCTTGTAGAAAAACCCGACCGCATCCCATACAAACTCTAAGCTTCTCAGCGCGCTGTCAACGTGACGGCGTCGTGGCGCGCCGCAATGACGCCGACGACGCTCGGTCTTTCTGGTTCCCCATACAAACCAGTCATTTGACAGCGACAACGACGCGCGTCGTTGTCGCTGTCGCTTGGTTTTTAAGCCTACCATTAAGTGTAGGCGTCTAGTAGGTAATGAGGTCTTTACGGTAAACCAATGAAGCAAATGTGCGGCAGGCTGCTGTCGAAAAACTTTCAGAAAACTAGTTTTTCTGTTTCAAAAGTTTACTGATTAATCGCGTTTTTTCAGCATTTTAGTTTTAAATTGTAGAAACAGGGGCTTATAAGCACCACGAATGCAGTATAGTAGAGAGTGTGGATGGACGCAGAAGAAGAGGAAGGCCTAAAAAGTTTGGATGGATTGTATAAAAGACGATATGAAAAATAAAGGCGTAAGTGAGGATTTGACTGCTGATAGAGATGAATGGAAGAAAAAGACATGTTGCGCCGACCCCAAATAAATTGGGATAAGGGCAGGCAGATGATGATGAATGCAGTATAGTACGGCTTCATATCTTGGAGCTTGTATGAAGGTACAGTACAGTCCCATCGGGATAACAGCATGAAACTTGGCATGCACGTAGCCTTGACACGTACAATTAATAATCTTGCCCCCTTCAGGAAATGTATCTCATACAGAATAACCTAGCAAATTATACCTACATGATCTCACTCAACCTCACTAAATGGGCCATCAAAATCGATGTCCCAGCAAGGACCATTTAACGCGGGACCATTTCTTAAGACGATTACACCAGAGTTTCCAGTTTATAAGCAAATCTGTTTGCAAATTCCACGCAGAAATTAGTGAAGCGAGTATCGAGACCTTACACAGAAACCGAAATAATTGGGGATGGAAATGATATCCTTAAACGGATTACGTCAGCCCCCAAAACAAATTAAAATTATGTGATGGTGAGTAATAAAGGTTAGGCAAGATACGACATGTTTTTATAGGACGGAGTATCTTTATTAATTTGCATTAGAATATTTTGGTGTCATTATCTACTACAAAATTATGTAAATGTTGGTCAAGATTGGTAAATGCAACAAAAAATATTCTAGTTACTAGTTTAATAGTCTTAAGTCTAGTTTAATAGTCTCAAGTTGACAAACGAACCGATTAGAGTCAGAGTCAAACCCGAGTGTAGCCATACATAGGTCACAGTAGTCCTAAATGTCAATGATGACATTTTTAACATTAACTGCTAATGGCAACATAGGAACACTCACTATAAACAAACATTCTATACATAAAAAGTCGTCACATACATTATTATTATAGAACAATGTGAAAGCGACCATTCTCTCTTACAAAGGGCTTGCGGCAACTAGCAATCCGCCTACGCGAATTTAAAGTTCACATCACGATGGCATTTCTACTATCATCTAAATCAGGTTTCTGTGGACGACTTCAATGACATCTGGTTGTTGCGACGATTTTAATTAATTACAACACTTGCTTCTGACATGTGATGCTCTATTAAATACAAATGTACGAGATTGACTACAGTTTGTTGTTGACACTTCGGCTTCAGTTACAGTTACCGTTTCGGACTTATGAATTTCTCCATTTTAAAGTAAAATTCAAGACAAAAGTTACGTCAGGCTCTTGATATCCACACAGCGATTTTTTTTTTTCGCGCGAATTTATTCTCGCTTTTTGTAACACACTGAATCTTATGCAAGATTCCGCACTGACGGAAAAAAATCGCGGTACGCGAATAAAATTCGCCGTGCGGTCGGCCCATAAACATACGTTTATGGGCCGACTAAAACCTAGGTATTTTTGTGGCACTAGAATTTGAACATTATTTTATCCTAAATGTAAGCCTATATTAGGCTGACGACCGAAAAAAATGTGAGTGCCAGCCCTAATTTGACTTGAAGACAGTATCTACTAATACTTACAATTTTTCTTTCATTCAAGATCATTAAATTCAATTTAGAGAAAGCTTAGAACGGCGACAGATGACGCTCTTGACGATAATTTAATATAACCTCATCTAAAATGCTGAATCTGGGTAGCAAGACGTAATTTTGTAAAAAGTAAACCGACCTCTCAGTTGATAATCACTTCCCTAGTTGTCTGTATATTTTGACAACTACTGACCGATTTTGCTGAAACTGGTTGTGAATCCTTAAGACAAGTGACAAGACAGTAAGTGACAAGAAGTGATTAAGACAAGTGTTAAATCACGTAAAAAGAAGTTTTACAATAAGCTAGTACATGCTTTTCCATTATGGCTACTTAGTCTCTAGCTCCACACATTAGACGTAAGACATAAGACGTGGGACCAGCGACATTGCGACGCTTGAAACCGTTTCCATATAAAATGTATGAAACAGAAGAGCCACAGCTACATACGTGAGACGCGCTTCGCATAGATGACGGCTGACGATTACTTGTCTGACGCATCTTACGTCTCACGTCTTCTCTATGGACCTTGCGTCTAAAATTCAAAAAGTCATCTCGACCACGAAAAAACTTGACATAACAGCAAACCGCCTATCGAATTCCGCCCACGAGCGGTGTCGCCATCTGGCGGAGTTTGACGAGCGCAAAAATTGCCACAGTTGCCCTAGCACGCACCAAGCATCGCAATAAAGTAATAAACGCCTCTGGAGAGCTTTATGAGAAATACATAGTTTGAGAAACAAGAAAACCAACAAGTAAACAGTGTGTTACTGACACGCGGGCATTTATTTAAACTATAGCCATTTTTTATAGGGGGCCGTCTGCAAAATCACGAATAAATAATCAGCTGTTCTAAACCAAGAAACCTATCGAGCACAAATTAAGCAGCTAAGTAAGCAGCCGTTTTTTTCTCCGCAACGTCGCAGGTGGCCTCATATTAAAGTTGTTCACACTGCCCGCGTCCAGTAAGTAAGTTTTCAACTTCGTATAATCCACTAGGACCTAGATTACCTACAAGGACTAGAATAGATAACATAACATATAAATCGTGGTAAGTTTGTCTTTATCTTCAAACAAACAGCAAACTACTTACTACCTCCATTTTTTCTGAGGTTGAGCCCTAAAACTCCCTAAGCCTTTGTTTGCCGACTTTCGAGGGCTTAGGATGGTATTACATAACCCTACGAACAGGGTACGCTTCGGCATACATTGACAGTTATTCTACGGAAGTTATAGCAATACACTTGAGCTCAGCAGCAATGTATAAAAAAATTCACGGTAGAGTAGTAACATCTTTATTCTGTTCTCGTAAGTCAAATCGTAGTAGCTGGAGAGCTTGCCAAGAGATTTGACAAGAAAATGACAGTAACCTGGTAAAAAAAATTCGTGGTATTTTTTGTCATGAATCAATTTCATACAAGAAATAGGACTATTCAGAGAAAGGAAACGTTAAATTAACGGCTGGCAGGCAGTGTGATCAGAAATGTCATACAAGGTTGTCAAAATTGACGACGTTTCCAGAATCGCCGGTGCTTATAGTAAGTAAAGCCTTACTAAGTATGTTTCCTTGTCAATTCTCTCGCCTACTAACGTGACTGGCTCTTCGACTATAAGTCGTAGTACGGATGCATTCAACGTGCCTAATCTCTCAAATCCCTTACTTCAGACTGGGGATAGTCGGCAGGTGCGAGTGGGGCTGTTGAAAAAGTGATGAATGGAAATATATTGCCATGAAAATATGCCTGGTTTATATTTGACGTTGTCATACTACCTACTTCTTCACTGATTTTCTTGATAACGCTGTAAAAGATACTTATAGTTGTCTATAGTCCGACAAGTTCGTGCGCGTCATTTTAATATGACGTGCGGCGCGGATGCGCGCGTCTCCCTTCCCTGCTACACCTCCCGCTACCCGCTGACATCTCTCCCCCCAACGTCTGTCACCCCTAGGGAAGGTCGCGCACGAACTTGTCGGACTATAGTCTTATGCCTATTGACGTGGCTAGCTCTTGGACTATAAGTCGTAGTACGGATGCACTCGACGTGCCTAATCTCTCAAATCCCTTACTTCAGACTGCGGATAGTCGGCAGGTGCGAGTGGGGCTGTTGAAAAAGTGATGAATGGAAATATTGCCATGGAAATGCGACATGTGGAGCGTCTGAATCCTACACATACCTATAGTCCATTCAAAATCATAGTGTCACGACCAGTCTAAGCGGGAGGCCAAGTTACACTGGTCGCGTAGTATCTAAGTATTGTAACATTAGGATTCATGACATTACGATTACGAATGGACTATGTAAGCTATCACTAGATATTTTAGTTCCTGCAGCCACCTTAGCAATGTTATCCTATGACAGCAGCAGTGGCTTAGAATCATATGACAGTAGCAACCCTGCTATGTGACAAGTGACAATCGCGGAAATCCTAAATAGCGTCGAGTGATCCTTCTTTAAACTCTCTGTTTGGTGTTACGTAAGTAGAAGCCAAATGCGTTTCAAACATTTTCAAGTAAGAACTTTCTCATTAATTGAAAATTAGAAAATTGAAAGAATCATTAGAGGCCGCCGGGACTTGAACCCGGGACCGTGGGGTACCGTCCCATCGCTCTGCCAACTGAGCTACTGAACTTCCTCTTTTTGCAGCCAATACTGGTCTAGTGTTGCATGAAAGTTACAATTGCAAATGAGTTGGCCGGATCGGACGTGCAAGTTTGCGTCGCAGGTGTAAACACAGAAAGCGAAAGCTGATTGTTTCCGAAACGAACGACAGTGCGACCACGGACAAACTACAGCATTATTCATCGCCGGGAAATTTGTAAATAAGCTAGGAGATAGTGCCAAAATTCCAACCTCATATTGTAAACAAGCAGATGTATTAAAAGCAAAAACCCGACTGGTGTAATGTCAAAGTTATATTTTGCTTTTCAAATCCGCCATTTTGAGTCTATGAAATTTTAATACCTATAGCCAGTGTCACTCGAGCTACTGAGACAATCTAACGACATTTCATATGTCTAGATTCGCCCAGCCGTTTAGGCTGTATCCAGTGAATTAGAATGTATTGTCCACATAAATAAATATTCTGAAAAACTTAAAAAATACGATTTCCACACATACATCAACAAAAACTACATATGTGACTTTTAGTAGAATCTATTTATCGGTTATAAGATTATGACAACAAGCTACAGGGATTGTAAAAATAAAATGTTCGATCATTTTGATTTAAATAACGTATTTGCAAATACAGCGGCGCACTTATCCTAAACCCAACCACTCTAACCTGCAAAACTTTGACAATTCAGAAAATATTATGCATTTTGACTTGAGAATTTGTCACTAGCTCCTAGATAACTAAACGAGTGGCCGAATTTTGAGTCAAAACGCCGGACAATGCAGCGTAAAACCAGCAACTTCTGAAAGGGGCCAGCGAACCATGCAAATCCTGAAACTTCAGGACAAAACCAGCATCCTATAGACAAATTCCCGCTTTAACGTAGAATAATAACTGCGCGCGACAATTTATGGAATTCAGTGCAATTTTCATCCAATTTTGACTCCAGAGAACGTCGTTCTAGTATTGTTAGTGATGCCCGATTTTAACAAAGAGCATTTTCGCCCTTCAGTCGAATTCAGTTTTGAAAGGCATTCACACACCTACCACATATGTTCCGGTAGGTCTAAAAGAAAGCCAGACCAGATAAGAGTTACGAGTACTTGATTGAGTTCCGTGTGGTGCCTTTCCCATGGGTGTCGTAGGAAGCGACAAAGGGATTTAAGAGTGTGTATTGCAAAAGGTGACAGACTGACAACCTGTCTTGGTTGATACATTGTCTTCTGAATCTCAAATTTTTGTCAGGCGTGTTTTTACAGCCATTTACGCTTTGCCTAACACGCAAGCGATATGGGCGTTATATTTGTATGTATGTATACGTACGTAGTATCGTCGGTCCAGTAAATACTGCAAAATCTTGCCGCACGTGTGACCAACACCTTGAAAATACCCGAATTCGGGGAAAAGAGGGTACTCGGGTACTCGCAGTAACTAACACACATTACACCCGTAGAACATCGAAAAGGTTAACACTGAGCAAACACAGCGTAAGCGAATCCTAATCTGTGTGGCGGCAGGCGACCGTGTTTTGTTAGGCGAGGAGCTGTGATAGTGGACGGTGCCGCATTAAAATTAAATTCTGCTCTGAAGGCGGGTCAGCGCCTCAGATCAATGAGATTTTTCAGAGGGAACTTCGAGCAAAAATAATGAAGCCATGAATAACTCGTCCCGCTAAGACAAACGCGTGAGGGCAGGCGGCCAGACGACCGTGTTTCGTTAGGAAACGAGCTGTGATAGTAGACGGGGCCGCAATAAATTTAAATTCTGCTCTGAAGGCGGGTCAGCGCCTCAGAGCTATGAAATTTTTCAGAGGCAACTTCGAGCAAAAATAATGAAGCCATGAAAAACTCGTCCTGCTAAGACAAATGCGTGTGGCGAGAGGCGGCGAGGCAACCGTGTTTTGTAAGCGAGGAGCTATGATTGTGGACGGTGGCGCATTATAATTAAATTCTGCTCTGAATGCCGGTCAGCATTTTTCAGAGGTAACCGATGGAGAGAAAGAAATGGAGAAGACTTCATTCTGGTTGCTCGCATTATTCCTTCTGAAATGTTTCCTTGCTCAAAGGTCAACACTCGTTTATTATTCGCTCGTCTGTGGCAAAGTCCTATATAGGACTTTTGCCACGGCGCCACAGAGGAGTGGTTATTGAGGAGAAAATGAAAGGCAAGCGGGTAGCGACCTCTATAGAATCCACCAGTTACCACCACACGCTGCGCCCGTTTCGCACTAATGAACATTGTACCCGCAAAATTACAACTTTTGCTATAATTCGCGAAGGAACAGTCATTCGTTATCTATCGTACAGTTTTGACGTTTCACCAACAAAGGGTGATAAATTGAGCACGCGGTGAGTAGACGTCTTTGTTTCTCGCCAGCGTAGAGTCTGAGGGCTTATTCTTATCGGTTTTAATTTGAAACGATGCCAGAAAAATAAGAGGTTGGTTGTGAAGCGAGGCGGCGGGCGCTTATGGAAAAGCTACCACTACTCAGAACCTCCATACATTTGAAATAAGGTAGCTTATTTGGCAGCCAAACGCGAAATATGTCATCGGAAAACCTACCTGAATTCAGAAAATTGACGCCATTTTGAAATCGCCATGTCACATTGCTAGGACAAAGAAAATTCTAATTTCAAAATAACTTTCATTTCAAGTACGAGTATATCTTGTTCAAAGTCGTAAGGTGTCAAATAAGTACATAAAACATAATCGTGTATCTATACAATGACATATAGGAAGAAGAAGTTTGAGTCAAAGATGAAAGATAGTATAAAATCTCTTGGATAGCTCTCGTATAGGTATTCATGGTTTTTCAGCATACTAGAACTACGATGAAGTCATGTTCAAATATATTTTTACTTTGTGCATGGTGATTTTTTTGGTAGGAACCTTCCTATTTAAGGGATCAATTTGAACTAGTTTTTATGTTGCAATATTACTGATACTTCAAAATACCCGCGCGCCGTTTTCTTAATTTGTGCTGATACTACCTACCTACTATCACCAGTTAAGTACTTCGTTCTTTAATCCTACTAATATTATAAAGGCGGATGTTTGTGTGTGTGTTTGTTTCGACATCACGCTTAAACGGCTGGTTAGATTGACATGAAATTTTGCACAAATATAGAAGAGTATCTAGAATAACACATAGGCTACTTTTTACCACGGGGAAATGTCTTATTCCTACGGGATCACGCATATTCCAATATTTTTGCAAAGGTGGCGTGACTGAGCCGATTCGCGTTTTAAACGTTTTCGCCGAAAACTAACAGCGACATCTCTTGGCGAGTAATGCTTTCTTCCCGCGGAACAATAGGTTGCAGCGGGTGAAACCGCTGACGGGCAGCTAGTAGTCTAATAATTTATAGAATAGACTTAAGGTACACGTACTTTGTCATTGTGCTGCAGATAGTAGGTATCTACAGTCAAGCTCAGATTGGGTAAGATAATGGTGTTTTACCTGACCTCGCTTACACAGGGTGTAAGGGACAGCCATCCGAATACTGAAAGGGTGCATTCAGACCATGAAACTGAACAACTTTCCATAGAAATAAATTTCAGAAAACGTAAAAAAATTTTTGACTTCCCATAGTAAATGCAATCAGTTGATCGTGATTTTGTATGGGAAATCGACAAATTTTTTTCGTTTCCTGAAATTTGTTTCTATCGCAAGTTGTTCAATTTCATTGTCTTAATGCACCCAATCGTATTCGGAGACCTGTCCCTTACACCCCGTAGTCAAGCTATAACTTACACTTAGAAAAAGCCTGTTAAATGCTATTCTATTCCGGCACCACACGGCTTTTATAATGTAACTATCTTAATTTTAATATAAGCGCGACATACATACATATATCACGTCTTTATCCCTTGCGGGGTAGGCAGAGCGTCAACGGCCGCAAAAATACGGTCGTTACCGCCACGTCTGACAAATAATTGAGGTTAGTTTTAGCTATTTTCGTAACGTACTATAGTGACAGGTTGTCAGCCTGTCGCCTAAAATTGCAATATACATGAAACCCCTGAGTCCCTTAGTCGCTTTTTACTTCTTACGACACCCACCCTCAGAAAAGAAATAGGGTGATGCTATTCTTATCCGGCATCACACGGCAATCTAAGCCGGCATCACGGCAATTGAGCGATAGTCACGGTTTAATACTTAGATTGTGTAAAAGTACCTACTCGCAAGTGCTTATGAACATTCGGTACCTACCATTAATGGGAAAAGTCTTCAACATCGTCACAATCGCTGTTCTCGTGGTATCGCTATGTGCATCTTATTTTCGATCATAAAATGTTAATAAACTCGTTAATATCCTTATTAATATCTTACAAGGATCTGAGTAGCGGTAGGTTAAAAACAGTTCAAATCTGGAATGACACAATGAAATTGCTACCGCTATTCAGATTGACGGCGATCTGAGTTGCGGTAGGTATTACATAAGCGCGAGGCGGCGGTGAGCGGCGGTTACTTGGCGCCCGGCATGGGACTTTGAAATAAAATGGCGCCCAGGATGGGACTCTGTATAAGTAGAGAATATTTGCTAGGGCTAGAGGCGACTTTATACACTCACTAAACTGACTGTGATAGTAGCGATAGTACTTGAGACTATTCATTTCATCAAGTGCAAGTGAGAAGCATTGTATGCATATGAAACGACATATAAAATGGAACAAAGTAAATATATGTACGTTGGTGTAAGTTCGGCCGAGGTGTAAGACCGTACGAGTTGAATTTTCGGCGAATTAGGCAATATTTTTTATAACTGGTAAATTGTGCATGAAGCCATTTTATTGTTCTCCGATTGTCAGTTCTCGCTAGTCAATTTCTATTGCTTAATTCGCTGAAAATTAACTCGTACGGTCTTACACCTCGGCCGAACTTACCCCAACGTACTATACAAAGGACCAATGACACTAAATGAATAAAGCGGAGAGCGTTTTTAGGCGACAGGATGATACATAGTCTTCTGAATGACTGTGAATGGCCGTTTTTACAAGCAGTTACCTACGTCAG